GCCGACGCCTGCGCGCCCACCAGGTCTTCAACGCGCAAGCCCAGTCCGGCGCGTACCACCTCCCGCGCCTGCTGGCGGCTGGATACGGCACCCTCAGGATCGAGCTCGTCGATGAGTCACCAGAGCACGTGGCCCAGCTTCTCAACGGCTACCGCGACGTGGCCCTGGGCCGCGCGCCCGCCGGCCGCCTGTGGTCGCTGCTCGCGTCGCTGCCCGACGGCAACGGGCGCGCCGGCGGCGTCGGGGGCGGCAGCCTGGACGTGCGGGGGGAGCGGGCGGCGGCGGAGCTGCGGCCGACGGCGGCGACGGTGAAGGCAGGGGCGGCGGCGGCGGCGGGGCCGGCGCGGCGATAGGCTTGCTGCACGGGCCGTTTTTGTGCTTCTTATGTAAAGGTCGCGCTATATTGAGGTGGCACGTCTGTTGCGCGGCTGCTTGATTTAAACATGCTGTTGCTGGCTTAATCACAACTATCTCTGTTGGTGCGGCAACAGCGGCAGCTTTTCGTTCTGAGGCTTTGGCCGCACCCTGCCAGTGCCCCCGTGAGTGGTGATTTGACGTTTGCGCGCGCTGCGCCTGTCTTGGGAATGCGCGCGCGTGTCTCCATGAATGCAGCCATGATTGTGGGCGCGGTGCGTAACTGGCGTGTTGACGTATCAGGCGGCTCACGCTGGCGTTTGAGACTGGTCGATGCGACAAAACAGAGCAAGCCACACTTGCACATGCCGCGTGAACAGAGCAACAACAAAAAATGACGATTACATTCGAGTTGGGGCCAGGTGATTGCAAGCGGCGCTGATGACTCATGGGCGTGGCAATCAGCTGCCCGCCCCAGTCACGGTGTCAACTGCGCGCACCCCGCACCAAACACGCTGCCTTTGCCCTGCAACGCCCCGCTCATGGGAGGGCTGTCCAGACCACATTCATTTAATGCCGCAGCCCTCATCCCCGCCTCGAGCCAGCCAGGTATCCACACCACTCCCAGCAGGGTCCGCAAAACAGCACGCAACCACGCGGCCAGGCGTTCGCCGCGCGCGTCGACGACGCTCGCCGAGGCGCCACCAGCGGCGTCAGCGTGACGTCATCATCACGCGTAGTAGCTGCCCACCCCGGGGCTGTCGTTCATGTAGTCCTTGAGCCGCCGCCCGGTGCCGAAGCCCCAGCCGGGGCTGCTCTGGCGTGTGGACAGCAGCTGCCGGCCGGTGCCGTCGTAGGGGGATGCGGTGGTGGGGCCGGGGGTGCCGGCGCCGTGGGTGGCCTTGCCGTGCTCCTTGGATATGTAGGCCTGGGGGGGGGCCATGGACGCATTGATCCCAGGGTCTAGGAGGGGCTTCCAGTCAGGGGTTGAGATCCATGCCGCCGTAGGGGGTGCCTGCTGCTCCGGCCGCAGCAGCGGCACGTACAGCCCAGGCACCGTTAACCCTCAACGAGCGCCTTGGGAGCGGCCTGGAGCCCGCTGCTGGCACATATACGTACTAATGCAGGCCTCACACTTGAAGCTGAGTGGCTTGCACACGTGCCGTCAATCCCTGCGACATGCGTTCACGCTCAAACCCACCTTGTTCACGAGCGCGTCGCGCGTGCCCGTGCCAAAGCTGACCGCCGGCAGCGTCTTCTTGGAGCTCAGCGCCTGGGGCCCCACACCAGACGGCGTCTGGTACTGCCCGGGGCCCGGCTGGCCCTTGGCGCTGCGGGCGTGGTGGGGTGGGGGCGGCGTGAGCGTTAGCGGATCAAGCAAAAGCCCACAGGCTACACTTCCGTCAATACCGCGCAATACAGTGAATCAACCCAATCTTGATTTGCAGCTGTTGAGGGGGCGTTGATTTGCGGCCCGTTCGGCTGCCGTGCGGTGCGGCGCACCTCCTCAGCTTGTTGTCCAGGTCCCTCAGGCCGGTGCCGATCTTGATGCCGGGGGCACTCGCCTTGGTCGACACACACTGAGGGGCCGGGGTTGGTGCGGCCGCAGCCGTCAGCAGGAGGGTGTGCACGATTTAGGGCGCCGGGCTTTGTGCGGGAGTGGCTGTCTGCAGAGGCCAGTGCATGGTCTGCAACGCAATCGCACGTGATGGACGGAGTGCGTCAACAACAGGCAGGCACAGTGCCGCGTCGGACCCGCGTGTGACAGCGGTGTGCTTTGTGGGGGGTTCCACGCACCACCAACGGTATCTGCGCGCGCACACAGGGCCAGCGCACCTGCTTGCCGACGGCACCGGGCACATTGTATGCGCCGGGGGGTGGCGATTCCTTCCCGTAGTACGTTCGCATCAGCTCAGCATCCAGGTAGACCTATCAATGACACGGGCGGGTGGTTTCGACGTCGTCAGGGGTGAGGGTCGTCAGCGTTTTGGTGGTCCAGTGGGTGGGCGTTGCGGGACGGATCGGTGCTGCCGGGTGCTTGGCTGGGCGGACGCACATCATCGCGGCCAGCTAATGATGCAGCATGGCACCCATGCATGAATTTCACAATCGCATTACCCCCACCCATACCGCGAGGCCTCCCATAAATCCCAGAGGCCGCACCTTGGTCATGCCGTCCCGGGTGCAGGTGCCAAACACGGGGCGTGGGCTGGTGCTGCGCCTGCTGTCCTGCTGCTCCCCAATGCCTTGGGACACCTGCGTGTGCGCCAGCAAGTGGTATAAATGTTCTTGAGTGAGTCAGCACATGCACACTGGTCAAGTTTGCACGAGGCAAAGCAGCAAGTAAGGCCTCGCTTGACCAGCTGCTGCACAGCAGGAGCAAGCCAAGCGCGGCTGCTTGTCGGGCGCAGTGCCTCGTTCAGAACAGCGTGCCGGCATACGAAGCTGCACGTGCTCAGCAGGCGCCACCACACGCGCGCCGCAGCGCAACAATGCTACGATTAAATTTCAGCAGCGGAGCGCGCCTGGTACTGCCCCGGCCCCGGGGCTGCGCTCCTGCCGTAGCGGGGCAGCCGCTGCGAGGTGCCAAAGCTCATGGTCCCGGGGTTAGTCATGCCGCTCTCGGGCTGGGGCCCCATTGACGACTGGAAGTTGGGTGCAGCAAGAGGTTTGGGCGCATTGACGGGGTGTCAGAGGGGGTGAGAGGGGGGCAGGCAAGGGCAAAGGTGCGGGGAAACAAGTTGAAATGCATGTGCGTCCTTTGGCGCATGGGTGCAAGTGAGGTCGCCGGAAGAGGCAAAGACTCCGAAGTAGTTCCGCAGAGCAGTTTTAGGCCCCTGCTGTGTTGCAGCGGCTGCCACGCCGTGCGCTGTACGCACACGTGAAGGGGCCAGCTCGTCGGCTGCACAGCTGTCAACACTCACATAAGTTTTGTAGACAGGCCCCTGGCTGTTGTTGCCACCCATGGCCCGCGCGTGCTCCGGCGATATGTATTGCTGCGCAGAGCGGAGTAACGCTTTATCAGGTGGTGGCTGTTTGACCAGGCTGAATGCGGCATCAGGGCGCCATGCCGGCGCACACACAGCGCGCAGGCGCCGTGTGCGCGCCCCGAACAGTCGCAGTTGTGCAGCAGCGAGCTGCTGCCTCTGGCTTGCACATTGGTTTACCTTGACGCTGGCATCTCTGTGAGATGAGCCGAAGCCCACAGACGGACAGCTCTCCTGCGTGCTCTTGACTTGTGCTCCGAAGCCACTACGTAGCATCCGCGTGCTGGGGTCCTGGAGTTTTGAGTAGGAAGCCATGGTTCTAAGCGCGCCTGCACCCGGTTCGTCAGCTGACCTGCACGCCTTGCTGCACAAAAGGTGTTTCGGATTGAGGCTGGCGAGCACAGGTATCAAACTATTGCGTGTCGCGATATTAGATTTATATCGATTATTTCAATATTGAGAGCGGGTTCGATTGAGTCTTGCGCCCGCTCGCCAAGTCTAAAACCGCTCTCTCAAGCAGCTGCCGCGCCTGCTGCAATCATACGGCTTTGCGCGTCCTTGCCACCACGCAGTGCCTGGCCACTGTGCTATTGCACGCACATCACTGTGATTGCCCGACTAGATTACATGTGTGGGTGAAGCAGGCCTGTCCTAGCAGCGCACAGACACCGCAGTGCATCGCCAGGCGCAAACCAAGGTGGGCAGGCAGGGCCCCTTGCCGATGACAAATCCGCACGCGACCAAGCGGCAGCACCCAAACGGCCGGCGGATCCATAGCTCTTACCTAGGCACCCCAAAATGCAAGGAGGTTCCCAGAACACCCCAACGGTGACGTCAGACCAGCACGCATGAACGCACGGCCGCCGTTGGTCGCCGGCGGCGGCAGGCCCGGCCCCGGCCCCACCCGCTCCGTCACGCCCCCTGCGGATCCGCCAGGGGGAGCGGCGCGGCGTACGCCCAGACAAAAATGCCGCCTTCCGCGCCGACGCTGACGATGCGGGTCTTGTCCGGCGACACCTGCAGCGCCGTGACCGCCCCGCTGTGCGCGACGCCGACGCTGTGGCACAGGCCGTCGTCGTAGCTGCGGGCGGGCGCCGCAGGGTTGTGTGGGGCGCGGACGTTCAAGCAGCCTTCACCCATGAAAAGCCATGGCAAGGACGGCACGACGTGGCAAAGCCCGCGGAAACTTGCACCTCAGCAAAAACGCCAGGCGGCACGCAACCCAGGCCCATTTCCCGGGAGCAATCCCCGCAACCTACCAGCGCCCGCCAAGCGCAGGTCGCGCCCCCCCCTCAAGAGCAGACACCCACCCCCAAAGCCGCACGAGCTTGTCGGCGCCGCCCGTCAGCGCCGCCTCGCCGTCCGGCGACAGCACCACCACGTTGACCTGCCCCGTGGCACTGGCCTCCAGCACGCGGATCGCCTGGCAGTCGAACGCGTCCCAATAGGTCAGCTGGGGAGGGGCGGGCCGGAAAAGGGGGGGAGGGGGGGCAAGCATCCGTGTCGGCGTCAGTATTGGGCGTACGAGACCGCATCAAGTCCAGTGTGCCGCGCCATGCCCCCTTGCTACCCTCACACACGCCCCCGACTTTGTGCCCGATCAACCAGCAGGCCGACGCAGCCGCCGCTCAGCAGCCGGTGGCGCCGAGTGCCACCGCCGCCGCCGCCGCTGCCGCCGCGGCCGCTGGCCCCGGGCCCCTGCCCGGGAGCTGGCCCCGGCCTGGGGTATTGGCCGCGCACCTTCCTGTCAGTCCCGACCGTGACCAGCTGCGAGTCATCAGGGTGGTATGCCACGCCCGTGAAGAAGGTGTTGTTGAACATGGACGCGCGGCGCCTGGGAG